TCCTCCCTCCCTCCCTCCCTCTCTCCTTCCCTCCCTCCCTCTCTCCTTCCCTCCCTCCATTCATTGATTCATTCATTTATTTGAGTCATTGATTGATTGATTAATTAATTATTATTGATTGATAACTGTTTAAGGTCAATCAAGTGAATATGGTAATGTAATATCAGGAGAGGCAGAGACTTTAGATGTTTTAACATTTGTGAAGGACTACATGACTAATGGGTAATGACAGAGTCTGAAATATTTTGTTCAATGCCCCTGTTCCCTTCTATCCTCATACAAATTGGGAACTCATACAGCTCTTATGGTTTTAATCCTTAGACATGCTTTTTTGTATTTTGCTTTCAAGATAAATTTTCTTTATCATTAAATAATTCCAATCCAAATTAACCTGGGCTGGCTTAGAAGACTAAGAAATCAGTCCCTATTCTTCTCTTTTTATGGCAGTTGAAATAAAAACAACATTTTTTGCCCCTGTTTATATTCTCCTTATGGCAGTTGAAATAAAAACATTTTTTGCCCCTGTTTATATTCTCCTTAATATGTTTTAGTGGTATTATTGATTTGATGATCAAGTTTGGTGTTCGTTTAGCTGCTCAACGAAACAAGAAGTGGTAAGTGCAACCTTATCCTGTGGTTTCTTCTCTCCCTCCCTATCTTCCTTGCTCAAATATGCTTTCAATAGGTTTCCATCAGTTCCACTCACCTTCCTTCTATCTCTCCCTACCTCTCTCCTTCACACACGCATGCCCCCACCTCTATCAGTCCCACTCATCATTATTCTATTCCCCTCTCCTGCCCTTCCTCACACACACATGCTTCCCACTTCTATCAGTCCCACTCATCCTCCTTTTCTTGCTTTCTCCCATCTGGCTCCCCACTTATCCATCCCTCACCCAACCACCCATTGGCGCATGTACTTTTTATTTCAGATGTATATTAAAAAAATCTGACTCTTATTATTTTTGATTTTGCAGGCCCTCAGCTTTAGCAGATGTCTTTCTTAAAGTGTACTCAAGGCTTCGTAAGCATGTCATCCTGCCTTCAGAATTCGTGTAAGAACAAAATAATGCTTGTAAATACATTGCATAATTTATGAGATAAAAAAATATATTTATCTTGCATTATTTATTATCAGACGAGATCAAGATGAGACCTACACAGCAGAATTGGCGAAGGTATTTTTTACTGGCCTTTTTAATAATTGCTTTTTCTTTTTCTTTCTTCGCTGCCTGCTGCCCGCTTTCCCCTCCCCCACCCCCTCCGTTTATTTTTGCCTTTCTATGCTTTGTTTTGCTTTGCTTTCTTTCCTTCACTTTCTGTTTTATGGTTTTACAAAAATGTAATTTAATTCAGGAAAAACCCTCGTTAAAATGAAATATTTTTATTTTCAAATTTTTGATTCCGAATTATAGCTAATCTATTCACATTTCAGTCGTTTCTATGACAATAATTCTTATAATAATACAAATAATTCTGTCGGAAATGAAAAAAAAATCAGCTGCAATGTTTTTAAAAACTTTCAAAAACACAGACAGTTTGAAAGGAACGTTTCTTTTTGGAATAATTAAGGATAATGATGATTGCATCAACCAGCATCATCTTGTTGGTTCATTYCTTTCTGCATCACCCAATCAACAACTAATGGCAGACACTGACAGTTGTCACCATGTAACATAAAGGGATGGTTGAGCAGCTCGTCAGCAGATAATCGATCTGCAGGATGGTATTTCAATGCTCCGTTGTACAAGAAGTCCTTTAAATATTCGGAAGCCTTAGATGCAGCCTTTTTGTTCATGGTGTTGTAACCAGACTTAGCCATTCTGACAAAGCATTGCATGGAGTCAGCATCCTGCAATGGGGGATATCCTTGGATCATCTCTATGGCAACAATACCAAGGCTCCAAATGTCGATCTGTGGCAAGAAAAGTTCAAGTGATGGGCGAATTAATTCTGGATTATTTTAGAAACTAAGGATTTCCTCCGGCCACTAACGACTACGCACGAAACCGTTCATATCAAAACATTGTGTGGATAATATAGTATGAACTACTTCTAGGTTAGAATAAGAATGCTTTAAAAAGAGAAGCGACAGAAAAAAATGAGCTCAACTGACAATGACATCATCACTACTTTTCCATCATCATTGACCACACCAGACGAGCATTTTTTTCCCTAGTAACTGATAGCAACATCACTAACTCCTTACCTCCTTCCCGTATGGGAAGCTGTTGGCCATTTCTGGTGAGGCAAATAGTTTGGTTCCCCTGAATCCTGGTGGTCTCTGTTCCGTTGCTTTGATCACTAGACCAAAGTCAACAATTTTCACCTGAAAACAGACCGTCAACATTAGCGTCATCCCACTGATATTCTTGCAGTATAATCTACCACTTTGCTATATTAATCTCTATCAGTGATGGTTACAAATGCAATAAGAATCGCAGTCAGGCATCTTGTTATAAAACATTGTCTTATTTTTTAATGAAAATATAGTTTATAAAACGATTATCAAACATGGACTAGCAGTCTCATAGGCCTTTCTTTAAGGTAACCAGCTCAAGAGCTTTTGTAAATTTGGTATATTTATATTTATGTTCGTTGATGGAGTTACGTTCAATCATGCCACGCTTCATGGAAAAAGGCGTGCGTCAAAACGTTAGCAATGAGGCTTACTTGTCTATCGATGCCAACCAATATATTATCACTCTTGATGTCACAGTGAATATATTCATGATTATGCAAGTACTTGAGGCCTTGCAGGCATTCCTTTAACATGGATGCAACCACCTTCTCTGTTAATCCCTTTGTTACAGAGGACAGCGTGAAAAGGCTAACCCCAGGTACATATGGTGTAACGATGTACAAAGATGTATCGGTAAGGTAGCTGTCTTTAAGAGTGATGATGTTTTTGTGGCTGCAGGTGCGAAGGGCCTCGAGCTCCATCACCAGGTTTTTCTTGTCTGAATCTTCGAGCGAGATGGTCTTGATGGCGTATTCTTCCCCCTGATCAAAACAAAGAAAGCCAACGTATTATAGTTCTGCTCTGGCAATTAAAAGTGGTACGTCATGATAATCTCCTAAGACCCGTACTTCTCTTTCTCACTCTATTACTATGAGGTCAGTACCTGTATTTGTTTGTGTCTTGCGAGGTAAACCTGTCCATACGATCCCTCTCCAATCTCTCTAATGATGTCATAATTTCTGTTTGGATGGTACCGCGTATCGCGCTGGAAGTGTTCCAGAACACTCATCCAGTTCCCTTGCATGTACATATGTTGTACACTTATTTGTGAACTGAGTTCAATATCAGAAAGGGTAACTTGGCTTTGTTCACTAATAAGAACAAGAAAAGTGAGAATATTAGTGAAAACAAAGTTCGAGTACATTTTACACTACACGTAGGAGGCTTGAAACTTGACTAGGAAGTTCTTGCAAACGATTATTTTATGGATTGGCAGCTAGTAGGGCTCTCTGACAAAATATTAACAGTTAATTTTCTTTGTAAATTAAGAAAATCGACGCTTGTCCATCTGTTGTGGAGATTGGCAATAGTTATTACGATGATGCCTTCAAGGACTACTAAAAAGGACTTCTAGAATACGATACCACTGGAAATAATATCTAGAAGGTACCTTTGAAGAACTTTTGCAGTCTAGTGTTTATTATCGTATATTTTTAAAGTGAAGAGGCCGAGTTTGCATTCCTTTGTTTACCTTAAGTTTCTTTCTTGTAATGGTAGAGATCTTGTAGCGAGAGGTATTGATTCCAGTGATTGTGATCTTCGGATTTTGGTCGGCTCGGTTTTTGAGTACACAGAGCGCAGTACACGTGGAGCGCCATCCTGCTTGATTTCTTTTGAATTTGTTGTTGTTTTTGGTTTCTGGTTTGTAGGTTTTCTTGAGCACGGTTTGCCGTCGCAAGGTACCCGTGCCTTGGTTTGAGGCCTTTCCTCTGCCTGAGAATTATTGGGCTTCACCTTTCTTAAACAGAAGATCTCTGTAACCATGAAATATAAGCACAGTCAGTTTTTCTGCACAAGTTTATAACAAAATGGAATCATAGTAGCAATAATATTGATTGAAGTCTTACTCTTTCGCCTCCAATAACCTCGAATGTTATTGTTGAATTTAAATAACTCCTTTTGAAGTTGATCCATAGTAATCTGAAATGAGAAAACCAATTTGTAGCAGTTATTTTCACAACTACTGCATCTATCAGCTACATTTTTTCTTTTGTCATGTAATTTGATTATTTTAAAATTTGATTCCGTATAAAAAGGGCATTTTAAAATCTAAAGAAAATAGACACTTTATAATTAATATTAATTTAATATCAATATATTCTATAGTGAGATTCAATATAAAAATGGCAATGTGACATGAAGGTAAAATTACTTATTGCGTGCAAACCAAATCAATGACATTTTTGGTGGTAAACTACGCCTTTCAAATCTAAGTGAATCAGACACTTACCGGTTCTGTTTCTTGAACTTTTGGTTTACTGTACGCGCACCCCATCTTTTAGGACTGAAATTCGTAACTCAACTTTTGTTAATAAGACTATTTCCTACGTTTTTATCGCAGCGCAGAATAACAGTGTTTCTCGAATGAAGAAAACTTTGCAAATGAGGAATCGCCGAAGATCCGTGATGTCATAGTCCACAGAATCTACGTGTTTGCGCGCGCGGAACTTGAGCGGTTCCCAGGTCCTTTCGACATGCAATAGAATCATGGATATTCAATATATACGAAATATTGAGCATTATTTAAAAAAAAGAGTTTTGATTATTCGCTGCGCCTATCTTTTTTTAATTAAAATTCAGGGGACTTTTGAAGGTGTGTGTGTTTTTTAATAAATAACAATTTAAGGTGACTGCCTACTTTTGGAAATTGATTTAAACTTTTTTAAAAACTTCGATTTTCCGAATTGAAATTTAATGCTGATTCCAAATCTGGAAAGAAAAATAGGGTGTCCCCAGCTCGTTTTCGAGATAATCAGCATTTAATGGAAGCCTACGCACGAGCTTTTGGAGTAAAAATTGATAAAGATAATAGTTATTTGCAGACTATATGATTGCACGAATGAAGGCTAGTCAATCATTCTACTATAATACATGGATATTTTCGACAAAAAGACAGAGATACATTGATTTGTCATATTTTGTTGTTTCGGTTCTCTTTAAAAATCTCATAAAGTCGAACAAAAATCCCTACAAACATCTATTTTTTCATGTGTTACTGATTTAAACTTTTCCTAAAATGTTGATATAAGCTAGATTTTTAGGAGTTTTTTCGAATGAGCTATTAAAAAATAGAGTCCCGTGCAAAATTTGAGGGTTTTGCCCTGTTGAAGCTCAAAACGCGTCTGGTTCTTCAATAAAATCTTGTAGATTTTTCAGCGGTTTTGAGGGCGCGCACATTGTGGGCTCAAATCGAACGTTCAAAAGTTTTAATCACACTTACTTGAGGATCTGTACATGTCGCTCGCGCTGGAGACCTCACCATATGTGGAGTCAATGAAGGTTGCGCGCGCTTATTGTAACGGTGTTTTTGATTATTGTTTCTTTTTTTTCAGTTCAATTTTCTTTATTTCTTTTCGGTTCGAATTTCTTTCTTTCTCTTAATCTTTTTTCTTGCCTTTTCTTATTTCCTCTTTTTTTTTTTCTTTTTCCGGTAATTTTTTATAAATATTTTTTATCCTTTAACGATGCTTAAAACACCATTATTGTTTTATTTACAGCTCATTCTAGTTGCCACAGAATTGACACTCGACAAACTCCTCACCGCCAAATCCAAGTCATCCTCAAGTCTGTCGCCAGCAAGCTCTCCGAGAGGGTACGTTGTTAATAAGACAGGGTTTTGAATCTGTGTTCCTTTATTTGAAACTCATAAAAGTCAACGTGAATTTATTAACTAACTTTGCGAAGTCTTCAACTTTGTAAGGCCCTCAACTGTGTAAGGTGATTTAACCGTTGTAGCGTCATTATTAATGTTGAATTTAAATGTGGAAGATGGGATATTTTAAAAGATAAAAAGAAAGCGAAATGTGTTGGAAAAGCAAAACAATAACAACAAAAAATAATTTCGCAACAAAATGGACAAAAGGCCGAAGATACTTGTAATATTGCTCTGAAAACGACGAAAACGCGATTGACTTTGCGGCGTGCGTGTGAATGAAAGATAAGTGGAGCAGTTTTCGCATAAGTGGGTATCATACGTAACTGACTTACAGCACTGACTGACACGCGGTATGACATACTATAACTGACATCGAAATCAAGATTGTATTCCAGTAATTTATTGGATCACAAATTGTAGTTACGACTAAGGTCGAATACTGTACGTCTACAGTACGGCTACGAATGTCCTGTATCGTTTCTCACTCATGAAAAATTCCCGAACATGGACCGTGGTATGAGATCTTAATTCCACTGGTTTTGAGTCAATCGCTGCATTCTGATGTTATAGCTAAACTAGTACACATGGTGTTTGAGCTGTTTCATTAGTTATTAACCAATCCATCCCTTTTTGATGCAATATATATCATACGCAAGCCACTCTTGGTTCTGTCGTGTTGTTCATCTAACTGAACTTAGTAATCTTTTGGTCTTTTAGCGGCGCGACTGGAGTGTCGCCAATGAATGTTGGCCCAGGAATCTCTAACAAGTTTTTGGCCACTGATGTAGAGTATCTACATTGTATTGCATTGGACAGAAGTATCCATGGTGACAATTGGCTGGAAATGGCTATCAGAGGTATTAAAAGGAAACTTTCTTGCCGTCGACCTTCGTACATGACTGCATGTTATCATTATAATTACCATTATTATCATCATTCACCATTTTTCATACATCAGTTCACTGGTCAAACACATAACATTCAGTCGAGGTTCAGGCAAGGTTCAAATTTGAATAATCATTTGAAAGTACCTCGCTTGAGAACCAATGTATGGAAAATGGATAAAGGAAACATAAATCGCTCGCGCATGTCTCAGTACTATGATATAAACACTCTGGAGCTGCAGAACACGAGAAAAGCAAGCTTAGCAACACGTTTATTTTTCGTAAGCGTGTTTCTGTCCTCCAATACAAACACGGTAGCCAGCCAATCAGCGCGTTTTATTTTAAATATTTCATAATTTATCCTTAATAACATGAATAAACAATCTTATCGCCACCATTATCATCAATGTTGTATTAATCAGCAGCATCATCAACAACGACTTTCATAATGTGTATCTTCATCATCAGCAGCATGAACAGATGCATGAACAATAACGTCAATATCATGATGTGATACTTCAGCACAGCACCACCTCCACCACAGACATGCTGTATCACTTTCATCATAACCATCTTCATCATCATCATCATCAGCAGCAACAATAACGTCATCATCAACATCGTCAACATCAATATCATCATATTTATGATAACCTGTTATCTGATTTTTTTAAATCATGATGTTGTGGGGAATGTCACGACTGACATTAATAGAGCATTAGTTACCTGTGCTTAATGCAATTTACCCCATTTATGGATTGCAGTTAACTGGGCAAAGGCCAGATATCTAATGCTCCAGGGACAGATGGAAATAGCCATGCTCTACCTTGACAGGGTAAGTAATCCCTTGCAATGTCTTTTGACATACTTGGATGGCATAGCTCAGTTGATATGATCAATCGTTACATCTAGCTCACATGATCAATGTATGAAATTTCTAACATTGTTTTGAGGCTACCTTGCAGTTCTTTTATTATACTCAAACCATTTTCAACGAGTATAAAAATTAAGTTATAGAGTGGAAACCTCAAAAATGTATTGTTTCAGCTAAAATGAGTACAGCATGAGAAAGGTTCATAAAGCTATGAAAAACTCACAAAGATAGATATTTTATTTTGCACTTTAGTAGATTAATAATATATGTACATAATGATACTTATAAAAGAAGAAAAATAAAATAAAAAAGGTTAAAACGCTAGGGCGAGGGTTTGCATTGAAATTCAGGACCGAGGGCCTGCGAATCCGGACACGTGCGTTTTAACTGGTTTAAAAAACAACCAAGCCCTATTGTTAATGTTTGATAGAGGGTTTGCATTTCGATGGAAAACCTGTCCCGGGTTTTCAATTCAGCCCCTCTCTCTCCAGTTGGTATCAATGCTGAATTCAAAATCCTTGACAGGTTTCCCATTGAAATTAAATTCAAACCAACATCAAACAATAGAAATAGAACGAGTAAAATTCTCGAGACAGCTTACCATATGAAGAATTTGTGTGAAGAATATAGTTAAAAAAAAAAAAGCTAGCCAGGAGAAACATTTTCCCATACACCAAATCTCAAGGGAATAAGTAGATAAAGCGATTCACGATTGTATTTAACCCTTTTTTACTTATGTGATCCTATGTTATTTGTTTAGTGTACTAAGCTTCTTGCAGTCGAAGTCAGTCCACTTGCTGAACCAATCACTGTAAAGCTGGTGAACTGCAAGATTGATAATAATATTACACTTGGTAAGTCGAGTATAGAATATGGATAATAGTTTTTATGTACCATTCGGCGAAAGCATGATCTTACAAAAGCTAGCCAGCAGACACATTTTCCCACACACTAATCCTTATGGAATATTCGAGTGACAATTCTAGCGTATTCTACTCACTTAACACTTTGTCTTGTTACTAAATATAGAGGTGCCTTATATAGAGATGTACCTTCCATTTAGTTTTAAGATTCAGTTTGGCACAACTGCTACAATTATAGGGGTAGGGCCAACTAGCAAAATACTCGTACTGATCGTAATATGCAGCTTCACCTTACATTTCCAAAGTTCAATCATGACACAGCTATTGAAGTACCTAGCAAGGTACTTGGCGGAAATAGGTAACCTACAATGGACTATCGTCCCTGGGAGTAGAGGGTAATCATTCTTCTAGTCACCACCCTCCCCACTACCAGTCTTTAAAAAAAGTAATTAATTGTGTGCTGGCTTTTTAGAAAACGTTCACAAGAAACTTGAATCACTACAGCGATGCCAGTCCCTCGAAGAAGTAAGTTTGAAGCCATTGCACTAGCCACCAATAGAAGCTTTGCATCATCACGTGATGGCAGCCATGAAAGGAGGCATAAAAATAGAGTCGTTCTCCCTTGGGAAACTGAATTCTTTCTCATGTAAATTAGATTAGACCAGATTCAATTGTTTCGGCCTCCTGTCATGGCTGCCACCACGTGATGCTGCAAAGCCTCTATACTATCACGCTATTATTTTACTATCAGCAGTATGTCTGTATTTAGCAAGTTAGTCTGAATCAATCCACTGTAGACTCACTTTCTAACATTTTGTGAAAACGTTTTTTAGGTCCATCGTCTGTATGAGCTGGGACAGTATGAAGACGTTGTACAGCTGTTGATTCCTACACTACACCAGCCGCAGCCTAAAACCAAGGTAATGCAATACAATACCATAGCATATCTTAATTCATAGGCTCGAGGGACGTATTATACATCTGATACATTATCTGACATTCAGTGAAAGCTTGTGTCGCGTATCTTTTCTTTCGTGACGTTTGTAATGGTGAGTGCAAACAGGATTCGTTGTAGTATTTGTTGAGTAAATTTCGTTAAACCAATCATTGTGCGAAAACACTGGTCATCAATCTTCAACACGGGCACGTCACCGCACTGTGCGTTCTTCACAGTCCTACAAAGATTATTTTTCTGTGAGTAGAGTTGTTTGTTGGTTCTCTCCTGTGCTTCGAGGATTTTCTCCGGAGTCTCCGGTTTTCCCTCTACCTGGATGAAAATTACTCTGTCTAAATCTATTTATGCGTAGTTTTTCATTTCTTACTTTATATTTGTTACTACTGAATTTGTTTTATTTGTGGCTATAATTCCATTGCTGGCGTTGCTTTTATTAAAGTGCCTATGTTACCTAAATCAATATTTTGAACACTGATTGTACATTAATGATGTGACGTCAAAGGAGGCATTTAGTGTTTATTTCTTATCATTTATTAATTGAAACACTTATTACTATGAGAAAAGAATATTTTTTTAAACAGGATGTGTCACTGCCTCAGATAATGCCTCATATGACATCACATCATTAACATATCGGAAGTATAAACCTCGATATCTTCAAGATGCACTCAAATCATATAAAATTATTTTACCACTCAACTATTCACTTGAAGTAATATCAATGCTGAAAAAAATGAGTTAGGTGTCATAGGCACTTTAAGAAAAGAATGCCTCATATATTTTCTAGGCTAGTGAACTTGGTATGTCGATACCTGAACGTCCTGCTCAGCTACTGCTGTTACAAGATTCCTTAATAAAGCTGAAAGACTACAAGGTATGCATTTCTCTTGTTGAGAAAATGTGGGACAAAAGGTATAAACGAACGAAGGTAAAAAAGCGAAAAAGGGGAGTAATAAAACAGGGTAACACATAACCAAAACAAAAATAATGAGAGCAAGTAAAGAGAAAGGGTATAGGGTAGAGAAGGTGTAGGGAAGCCTGCGTAGCGGTGTCCCCCTCCCCTTCCTCCTACTCTCCTCCCTCCCCGAAGACCCCATAGATCAGAATCGTAGGCTAGGTGTAGGGTAGCCTCCTACGTAGCCGTCCTTAAGTTCTGTTACGGCTGCGCAGTATGTTAGGTGTAGGGTAAAGAAATAGAAAGGAAATAAAAAATTGATAGACCGGAATTGATTATCTTTTATCGTTTTACATCTAGAAATGTTTGGAATGCACCGAAGTCGCACTGAATGAAGCGGTATCGCAGATGAGTCCCTGCGAAGCTTGGTCCACCACTCTATTACGACTTTTCCAATGCGTAAATACGTAAGTATCACTCAACATACTTGTTATTTTTGTATTGATAATAAAGTGATATCCAGTGGGCTCCTATACCAGTGTTCCCTATTCCCATTGGTCACTATTTCCATTGGTCCCTATTTCCATTGGTCCCTATTCCCATTGGTCCCTATTCCCATTGGTCCCTATTCCCATTGGTCACTATTCCCATTGGTCCCTATTCCCATTGGTCCCTATATCCATTGGTAAGTTATAGGGGCGTGCATTATGTGTGTGGTTTTATTTTTTGTTTGTTTATTTGTTTGGTTCGTTGCTTTTGTATGTATGTGAGTTAAGGGAGGAGGGTGTGTGAGGGGGGGCTGAGAGAGAGTGAACATACTTTCAGGAATCTGGGCGGATCTTACCATTTACCCGGAAATACCGGAAATTTCAAATGGAAACTAAAACAAATGTCATTCGTTATTCCGAATTGAAAGTTCCAGAGAACTCGGTCTTCCGATTAAGGTGATCAGTTCTTGCCGCTCTTTTTGGTTCTTCTGGTAAACATATGCACCATTTGTCGGAAATCCAAGTTTCCCGCTCTTTTTCTTACCATTACCAAACGCATTGGTTATGGTTAGCACCCCTGGTTTTAGAAATTTCACTTTTTCCATATATAAAACTGATTTCTTTTTAGTTGTATCGATGAATCGAAGTCCATTCTGGAGGGTTTCTCACAAGTTAAACTCCAAAGTCTTACTCTCAATATTATCAAGGTATTCTAAAAGCGCATAACTTTTAGCTGATTTAGAAAATAAAATAGAGATTRCTTCCCTGCTTTCTTTCTTCTTCCCTGCTAGCAGAGTCTCTCTTCTCTTTCTCTCCCTTCTTTCAGGCGGGGAGGAAGGAGACTCTGCCGATGTAGAGCGYTTCCTTTGATACACCGCCGTCCACCATCGTGGACGAACAAAACCAGTTTTAAAACCGGTTTTTAACCGATTACATGTAGTGCGCATGAGCAAATATAACACACCGTGGCGCTAAACATTGTTTGACGAGAGCGGCTGTCAAAATCATGACAGCGTTGCTAAGTTACGCCACGCATGTGCGACAGAAATAACGTCCTACTTCGGCAGAGTCTATTTTTCTCTCTCAACCAAAGCAAAAGGAAAATACTATCTGCTAGCAGGGAATCTTTCCTCGTTCCAGGATTCAAAATAGGGATCCCAGTCACAAACAGAACCAGCTGTAGAATCTGTTATTGACAACTCACAGATCTAGAGTGAATTGCACTTGTAACAAACGGAAATACTCCATAAAATATGAAGGATCTTCATTGTTTTTACTGGCATACAGGTTATCGAAGCATCCATTTACTCTTCGGATGTTAGTATGGAGCCACCATTAGCCTCGGCTTTTCCTTGGGTTTTGCTTTGTAAGATCATTAAAAGGTACGTTTATTTGCCCAGCCAAACACCATTTTACCATACCTACAATATTAGATTGTGAGTAAGTCCCTCTTTGGCGTCGGCTTTGGTCAACTTGCCCAAAAGGAAATTAGTAGCGAGTCTAATATCCCTATTAAGGGGGTAAGGGGAAGATATATGTCCCCTCTAGCGTTTACGGCAAAGGTTTCCTCATCATCCCGTTTATTTATCGTTTATTTCTCAATTTTTACTAAAGAAAATGACAAGGAAATGAAAATTGACTGAACACTAAAGCATATCTCATTTATAGTAAAGAAAATGATGAAGAAATGGAAGTTGACCCGACACCAAAGCACAACACCCCGGTGCTAACATCAGTAGACAGTCCTGTTCCTATCGTCGGTGGAATATCTGACAACAATACTGACGCTGTTGGCTCAACAAATGATGCGCCTGCGGTGTCAAATACGTTGCGTTTCCTTCGGACTGCGCATGATCATCTTGGAAGGTAAAAAGAATATTTTGGAATCCTAATAGTCTTCTTTATTTCTTTACTTTTCTTTCGTTGGTTCTTCTTTTTTTTTTCTTTCTTTCTCCTTTTGTTTGCTTGTTTGTTTGTTTGTTTGTATGTTGTTATCTTTTTGTGTTCACGTGTTTTGTTTTTAAGTGAACTCTCAGCTGACCAATACAATTATATCAAACCAATCGATGAATAAACTTCTAAATGAAGGCCCCCCCCTCATACCCCCCCCCAAAACAACAACAACAACAACAACAACAACAACAAACATATAAAACCAGAGGAGAAAATATTTTTAATTAATTTAATATTTTAAATATTTAATTCCGATGTTTTAAAGCCCAAAACAAACGATCGTTTTATTTTCCTTCGTAAAGAAGTATCTCCCGCCAAATCGCCCATTAATTAACTTATCAATCGATATACAAGGTCTTTACGATATGTATGTATTATGTTGGCCTTTTTGTTATATGATCACTAAGTAGCGCGTTTGTGTTCATTGACAGGAGAGGCTGGTGTTGTAACAACGATGGAATATTCTTGCTGCTTTGTGTCGATTTGTTACGAGAACAGCTTTCCAAACCTAATTTTTCCTCGAGGGATGTAAGTGTTATTTGATGAATATTTGACAAGGGATTTCATCCTTAGACCTCCAATCAACGGGGAGTTGAGTTGCTTGTTGGGTCTCTCCTGTGCATTGGGAGTATTCTCTAAGTTCCAGAGTTTCCTCCCTCCATGAAAATCAACTTCTAAATTACAACTTGATCTGGCATGTGTAGTTTTGGGCCACTGGCTCACGAGTAATCAGGGCCCAGTTGTTCAAAGCCCGATTAGTGCTAATCCTGGGTTAACTCTTAATAAGACCTATAGAGTTAATCCTGGATTAGCGCTAATCCAGCTTTGAACAACCCGGCCCAGCGTATTATGTCCATTAGCCTTTTAAATTGACCAATTACAATCTGAACTAGATGATACAAAACGTACAAAGTAGTTTCACAGCAGGAAGGGTAAGAACAATGCAATATTTTCATACGTCGAACCATTCTATAGCAGATTATTCGTAATAAAGTTTCATTTTTTTTTTTTTTTTTTTTTTCGCCAAGGTTTTACAAGATTGAATATTTTCATAGACATTTAAGTTTTTCCTGAAACTTGTATCACAAAACCGTTTAAAAAAAAATTAAAGGAAAATTTTTCACCCTTTAACTTGGCCATAATACTCTTGCTTTATTACAGGATCTAGTACGAGACCTGGAGCAGTGTTTTCTGTGTTTGTATGGTCATCCGTCCAAGAAAGCTAAGGTGTCTTGCCTCATATTGTCGTGGCTTGTTATCGATAGATATTTTTACCTCGGGAGTAATATTTTCTCATTTCAGACCACGTGTCATTTGGCCCTAGAAAAAATTCTTAATGGTCGCACACGAGAAAACACATGAATATTTAAAAATTATCACTCAAACAGTGAATCTTAATCTCAAGAAAATGACGTGGTCTGTAATGGGGAACGTTATGTCCATGGTAAAAATATCTATCTTATTGAATTGTATTTCAATGGTTAAACATCGAATGTCACTTAAGCTTGCCATCCGGTACTCTCGCGGGTAGCCGCAGACGTCCGTCTATCAGAATAAATCTGTTTGTTGGTTTTTCTTCCCTTTATTTCCCTTGTATCATCGTTAGTCATTGTAGACCTTTCGGCTTCCCCTCCATTTTATCTGTTTTTCATCCCCCTACCCCCATCCCCTCCTACTAATTTTGAGTAAACTTGATTACTGTAATAGTTTATTGTATGGGCTTCCTGATATTCATGTAAATAAGTTACAAAGAGTGCAAAATTCTGCTGCCAGGGTTATTGTAGGGCTTCCTCGTTTTTGCCACATCACACCAGTTCTTTTTGATTTACACTGGTTACCTAGTAGATATCGTATTCATTTTAAGATACTACTGTTAACATTTAAATGTTTACGTGGGCTAGCACCACAATATTTATCTGATTTGGTTTCAGTAAGTAAGGTTTCTAGGTATAACCTCCGGAATCATAAGGGCACTCTGCTAAATCCAGCTAGTGGGAAATGTAAAAAAACTTTAGGTGACAGGGCTTTTCAATCTGCGGCCCCTAAACTGTGGAACGCTCTTTCTGTTGAAATCAGGAATGAACTGTGTATCAGGAAATTTAAATCACTTGTCAAGACATACCTTTTTAAATTAGCTTTTACTTAGAATTTYATACATCTTTATTGCTATTTACTATATATTTTATTTATTTTATATATTTATATTATTCTATACTATACTATATTATGTTATATTTATATTTCTTTTTATCCAATTTATTTAATTTGAAATGGCATAGTTAATTTCTGCGCATATGAACATATCCGCATGAAATATGCGCGTTATAAATATATATATTATTATATTATTATTATTATTAATTTTTCTCATGGCATATCTTTTTAGCTCCGTGGACTTCAAGAGCACAACTCATGTCAGGTAAGATCAACTTTATTTTCTTATTTTTTTAAAATGTATAATACGTAATACAATTCTCTTTCCTTTATTATGCATTCAGTGTCTCAACAACAATCTTGTTGTCAACGAAAGCGAAGAAAACGGGAATTTCAGTATGGGAGGGGAGGGGCAACTTGAATTGTAATGATATATATATCCCACGTTTAAGATCGTTTACCAAGAGTAATGGTATTTTGGTATTCCATGTAATGTGGGTTGGTTTCTGTATCTTCAGCCTTACGATCAGAATTTCATTCCCCTGATCCTTTTTAAGTGTAGCCGATTCTCTTATTCTTATTTTCAAAATGATTTCAGACCAATAATACTGTTGCTACTATTTGCTTTTTTAGATTCCTTTAACTTGGCGCAACTCTGCTGTAGTCTTTAACTATTTCAAGCCTCCTGAACTACCAACCTTTGACTCCAAAACCAACACGATATCAACAGAGGTATTGATCGTTTATTTACATAACGCCTGAGAATCAATACCTACATGTAGCTATGTTTATCTGCATAAATCATAGTTATATTCATTATTGTTAATATTTTTGTCCCAAGGTTCAAAACCTGATGCGACGCATCACACTCGTCGTACCACAACACGAATTAGAAGGTAAATATTAATGTGGAGCAGACTTCTCGTACTACAGTATATATATGCTTCAGGACTTTAGAGCATATTTGGTTTGACTAGGAAAACGTGGTACTACTGACGTACCGTGCCGTGCCCACAATCGTGCCATGTCACACGTTATTAGTGTAATTGGTTCACTAAGGTGATGTAAATTTTACACCGTGATCGTTACTTTTCCTGGTCATCAACACACGATTGCTGCAAAAACTGATCTGTATAATTTGAACCAATCAACAGAGGATTGTTACTAAAACCGATCTATATAATATGAACCAATCAACACATGATAGCGGTTTATTCAGGATCAGAATAAGAATGCTTGTTTAAACCAGCCCAACCAACATACATGTTACTGCATATTCGTGAATTATTATTTTTGGTTTGCAGCCATTTCGTTTGATAATGTCCAGGCCTTTATGGAAGGTGTTAACGACGATGTTCCCAAGCTCCCTGAGAATCTAGCAACAGTTAAGAGGTACGTTTTTGCTTAGAAACATCCTGAACTTCCTGGGCTTATTATTGGTATTAAAAAAATATGCACTGTCTTTCCTTGGATTCTTAGGCCTGTGGTCAGCGAGCTCTTCTATTTGTTGGCTGATTTTTATTTCAAGAACAAAGAATTCAGGTTAGTTTACCAATTGGAAGACAATTGGTCGTGGGTGCGATTCCCAGCGAGGTCGGAAATTAATTTTTCCGAATTTAATTCCAAGGGCTTTCGCCCAGAATAACCTCGTTCCCAAGCACTAATTACCGCGACCTAACATCTATTTCACCCCGGCCTGCTCTCAGTCTGACCTCTAGCTCAGCTGGTAGAGCATCGGTAGTACGATAGACCCTTTTCGAATTCCAAATTACCGCTGTGTTTCTTGATTACAGACTCATTTGCACAGGGTTAGCCTCGAGTTTGTGCAGAATATTCACGTGTTCCAGTCAAGGTCCGTCGAGTTTCAAAATGTTTGTATTGTTGAAGTTGTGAATTCTTTACTTTACCGTTGGTATTTGTGAATATTTAAACACTGATGCGAGGCTAAGACTGAGTAAATGAGTCTGTAATCAAGGAACACAGCGGTAGTTTGGAATTCGAAACTGGTCTATTCCGAAGGTCGTGGGTTCGATCCCCAGCGAGGTCGGAAATTAATTTTTCCGAATTTAATTCCAAGGGCTTTCGCCCGGATTAACCTCGGTCCCAAGCACTATAACTTATCTATATTTCTATATCTTCAATTGGAAGACAGTATATTTTCGAATAAATGAGTGGGAAGGATGAATAGGAAGAGAGAGAAAGAGAGATGGTTGAATAGGTATACGAATTTATTTTATTCCGACGAAGGACTAACGTCCGTCATAAATATATGCTAACGTTTTTCACGGTGTTTTAGTTTCCCTCCTCTTCACTTGTATTTAACACCAGTAACTGCTAGTCATTATCAACTAGTAATTTTGGCTTATATTTGTTTGACAGCAAAGCACTCAAGTTTTACACACACGACATCTGTGTCCAGCCTAACAGATCGGATTCATGGGCAGCCATGGCGTTGATCAGGAAAAGTCGCCTTGAAAGTAAACTAAACGCGGTGAGTTCATTGCTGCCTCCTTAAAGCCCCGTTAACACTGGCTATTTTTGCTGCGATTTTTGCTGCGATTTTTGTGGCAATTTTCGGAAATATGAAATCTTTCGTCTCATCCTTCAAAAGAGACATTCTTCTAGGAAAATCTTGGTATCCTGAAAAAAAAACTTTACAAGTAAATTCTTTACCATTATTCGTTATGGACATTATAGCACACTCAACAAAATTACTCGACTCTGATTGGTCGAGAGGAGTACAATTATAGCGTTAATTGTACTCCGTAGGAGTACCGAATTAAGTCGCTATGGCAACACGGCCAAAACAATGTCAAAACAATTATTTTCTATCATTTTGTACTTAAAAAGCATAAATGAAATTTTAAAGCCGTAAGAACTAATCTTTTTTATGCATTTCAGTTGCACGATGGACTGGAAATCGGTCGCCAAATAGACAAAGATGAACGGCGTCGCTTCGCATTTTTTACTGAAATTTTGTTGAGTGAACTATAAACAAAAAATCACACGATCTTCTCGTACAATTTGGAATTAATAGACACTCGTAATGTTTTGAAAGTTCTTTAATTGTACTCGCCTAAAGGCTCGTGCAATTACAAGAACTTTCAAAGCATTACTCGTGTCTATTAATTTCCAAATTGTACTCGAGATCGTGCGATTTCCTATAAAAATCGCAAAAAAAAAAAAAAAAAAAATCGCAGCAAAAATCGCCAAAAAATCGATAGTGTAAACGGGACCTAAGTGTCAGCGCTCGAAATTTTCTGGACGTGCTCAGTACGGTTCTGTCACTCCAGACCTCATCGTTATGCGACTCTTTCGATTCTCACCTTTTTTTCTCACCACCAATTTGTTTTCACATGATTTCCGAACAGTGTGAGCCCAAGAGTGAAGGACCTATACAGAAACATGCGGTAGCTGCTTTGAGGTAATAGGGTGATTGTCAATCTAAACTTTATCGTCCATTTGTTTCTGTTCTTGTTGTTGCTTTTTTTAATGTTATCGACGTTGCTATTGCTGCTGCTGTTGCTATTGTTGCTGTTGTTGGTGTTGCTGACGGTGTTGCTGTTGTCGTTGTTGCTGTTGTTGTTGTTGCTATTGTTGCCGTTGTTGCTGTTGTCGTTGTTGCTGTTGTTG